CCCGAATGCGTGGGTGGGCGCGCGGGGCTGGGGAGGATGGCTCCGGTGCCCGGGGCGCCCGCGTACTTGCTGCATGGGAGGTGGTGCTGATGACCGAGAGCGGGGCCGCTGCGGGGGCCTGCACGGGACCCGGTGAGGGCGGCGAGGAGGGACTTTTCCCCAAGGACCTGGGTCCACTGGCGGGATGCTCCACTGACCCCGAGACCAGATGATGTCTCACGCGCGCTCTCCTTTTCTATTAAGCGGAACCCAATGGCCCGGTTTGACGCAGGGTTTCCAGAAACTTGTTTTCATTGGCGGGCCAGACAGCTCCCGGTGTTTCAGAGACGGTTGTTACAGCCATAACCTGCCCTGGTTTGCAGCCAGTAATCTCTGCTAGATGGTGAACCTGAGGATAGAAACCCTCTGTTTCCTGCTGTTGACCTGGCGCCGAGCGTAGTGCCTGGCTCGGGAGACACGTTAGTGAATTGGCTGGAGGAATGACGTGCTCGTTGAAGGTAGTAGGTAACCCAAGTGAGAAGAAAAAGAAGTGATTGCTGTGATGTGCGGATGGGATGAGGCTTCGTTTGCCGGGAACCAGCCGGGAGGGGTGTGCGCTTCCCCTCCGCGGCCAGAGGGGGCGGTGCCCGCAGAGCTGTGGAGACGCCGGAGCTCAGGGCGAGTCCCTGGGAACTCGGGCCTCGGACGGGAGAGGACCGCGCTCCACAGGTTGATGGGGTGGGGGCGCCGGCGCGCGCGCCCTGGGTACGTTTGTGCTTCGGCAATGGAGTTGGTCTTTCAGGAGAGGTGATTAACACTGTGAGGCTGGGCGGGGTGGAGGAGTGGGGAGGCAGCTGTGGGGTGTGGCAGTGGTCCAAGGGGGAGGTCCCACCAGCTGGCCCGCAGTAGTGACCAAGGGTTGTCCCTGACAGTAGTGACCAAGGGGTACAACTGGATCCTGAGCTACCCGGGGCAGGTCCCAAGTGCAGTATAGATGTAGGGGCAAAGGAGTTAGGTTTAGATTCAACAGATGTTACATTCCCTCGACTCCTCGGTGTTTTCATAGGTGTTGGGTCATAAGGAAGCCCCCTGCAAGGTCAAAACAGTCATCCTCTAGTTTCCAGAGAAGGAAACCCAGGCAGCGGGGTTGAGGCGATGTGTTCAAGGTCACACCCGGAATGAATGGCAGAGCTGGGATTGAGATCAGGTCTCAGGTCTTCTCGTGCAGGCTGTGAACGTTTGTTTTTACTTTTAGAAAGAGGTTTTGGAGGTGATACGACTTCAGAAACTTCTGAGTGGTGAGAGCAGAGAAGCATGTGGTTGGCTGCAGGGAAAGATGTCCCTTAGCACTGCAGAGGAACCAAAGCTCTGTTGCCCCGTGTATCAGTCCGGAGACAGAATTTGATAGAAAGAGTTGTTAACTAGATTAACAAGTTGTTAAGTACCTGAAGGGTTAAAAATGAACGTGGAAGTAGCAGCTGCAGGAAACAGCACCAGCCCTTGGCCGGCCCAAGGAAGGAAGGGGTGAGGTTGCAATGGTTCAAACTTACAGGCTCCGAGCAGAGGCTCTGCAGAGTTGACATTCCAGCCTCTGAGGAGGTGGCTTGGCCCCAGTTAGTGCCGGAGTCTTTGAGCTTGGAGGAGAGGTCCCAAGGGCCTGGGAGACCTCTGAAGATAGGGCTGGGCGATGAGGCTGGCTTTGCATTGTTGGCAAACTGTAGACTGGGTTCGGGGCTCCTGCTGCCAGGGTGGTGTTACCGGGGTGATGTCCCCAGGAGTAGGAAGGACCAAAGCTCTTTTCCCCCACCCTTTCTGAGTCTAATAGGGCACAGCAGAAGTGTGTGTTATGGAGTCTCAGCCCCCCACACAGGGGAAGTATGGGTGGGTGGGCTTGTGGCTGAGAGACAAGAGCTTAATACTGGGGATACCCCAGATGTCCAAGTCCTGGGTAATTGTTTCTTCTTCTGGCAGGCTGGCTTTGCCCCAGATGACCACTCCCATCAGGAGAGAGAGACTGAGAAGGCTACGGATCGACTAGGCAAGTAGACGGCAGAGAACGGGGGTGAATGTTGGGAGAGACCGGGGAGCGACAAGAGGGACAGTCCCTATGTCTTGTTTACATTCTCCTCCTAGTAGGTCCTCCTTGTAGCTGCCAGATTGCCTTTTCTGCTTAGCATTTCAATAGTGCCCTTGTTTGGAAGCCCCACTGGAGCTTCCTTAAAGGAAGTCCTGAGCTAGCGTCCAAACCCATCCCTTCTACTGGGAGAGACAGCTTAGGAAAGCGGGAAGAATACAGGCTTTGGAGCCAGGCAGAATTGTTTCCACTTTCAGCTCTGGGTCAGAACCCTGGCCTTGAGTTTTGTGGCCTTAGATAAGTCACTTTCCTTTATCTTTAAAATGAGGATAATTGGTAAACCCTCAATTTTGTGGACCTCGATTTAACATTTTCGATTTAACGGACAAAATTTCTGGTCTGTATGTCTTTTTTTTTTTTTTTTAATTCTCACCCGAGGTTATTTTTTCCATTGCTTTTTCAGAGAGAGTGGAAGGGGGGGAGAGAGAGGGAGAAACATTGATGTGAAAGAGACACATCGATTGGTTGCCTCCTGCACACCCCCCGACCAGGGCCAGGGATTGAGCCTGCAAGTGAGGTACATGCCCTTGGTCAGAATCGAACCTGGGACCCTTCAATCTGAGGGCCAACCCTCTAACCATGGAGTCAAACCAGCTAGGGCTCTGGTCTGTATGTTTTATGTGAAAATTAACATCCTGTTAATTTTTTAAATGCTTTTAACCAAGATTTGCTTATAATTAAATTAACAGGTTGTTTTTTTGTTATTAACTTACTGCTATTTTTAACAAATTTCAGTGAATAGGCCGTTTATTGGAAAAAACGCTTGTAATAGTTTTGCCGAGATAAATAAATATTACATATCTACAACTATGGCCTGCATGTTTAAATCCAAAGGTTGCCACCCATGAACAATGTTCAGTAGATGATTAGCATGTGATCAAATTACATCCACTTGCAATAATCGGTTTTCTTGTCACCTATCATGACTTTCTGCAGCTGTTTTAACTCATGGTAATGTTCTGACATGCAGTAACCATCCATGTACATTTGTTTACTTGAGGTGACTGGTGAATGCACCCATTTGTTAGACCTATTCAGTATAAATTTAAAATTACTGTAATACATATAGAAGACTTTTCTGTGAAATTAAACTTTTTATACTTAATTTTAATTACATAAATGTGTCTACATAAATAAAAATAGGTAAACTAATTTGTGAATTTTTTAACATACCCATTTGGAAAACCTACTTTATTATTATATCGGACTTTTGGCTTTACCGGACAACCCCTTGCCTGAATTAGTCTGTTATATCGAGGTTTTACTGTAATTACCTCAGAGGGTTGTTCTGAGGATTAGGTGAGAAGATCTAGAACTATCATTGCCTCTGGTGCTATTTAAATGTAAGCTAATTATAATAAAATAAAATGAAAAATTTAGTTCCTTAGTTGCACTAACCACATTTCAAGTGCTCAGTAGCCCCACGCGGCTAATGCCAGCCTGCTGGACAGTACAGATGATCGAACATTGCCATCGGCGCATGAAACACTGTTGGATAGTGCTGGCCTAGATAAAGCACCAAGCAGTGTCGTAGTCATGACAACTAACACTTCCTGAGGACTTACTATGTGCTAAATGTTTCTTTTTTCTTTTTTTATTTAAATCCTCACTGGAGGATATTTTTTCTGTTGATTTCCTTAGACTGGAGAGGGAAGGAGGGAGGGAGAAAGAAACGTCAGTGTGAGAGAGACACATTGATTGGTTGCCTTCTGCACGTGCCCCAACTGTGCCTGGGATTGAGCCTGCAACCGAGATACATGCCCTTGACCAGGAATAGAACCCTTGACCCTTAGGTCTATAGGCTGACTCTCTAACTGCTGAACCAAACCGCCAGGGCTCTTTTCCTTTCTTTTGTTTTTAAAAACTCTCACAACAATCATATCTCCATTTTACAGAGGAGGAAACTGAGGAAACAGTAAAATTAAAAAAAAAATTGTGGTAAAAAGACACAGAACATAAAATTGACCATTTAACAATTTTGAAGCATTAGTTCAGTGGTATTTAGCACAGTCACAATGTTATGTTACTGCCACCCCTATTTAGTTTCAGAACATTTTCGTCTCCCCAGAAGGACACCTTGTACCCAGTATGTAATCACACCCCGTTCCCCGCTGCCTTGTGCCCCCGGTCACCGCTAACTTGCTTTCTGTCTGTGGATTCACCTTTGCTGAACAGGCAGATGTGAGTTGCATGTAAATGGCATCATACACTATGTGGCCTTTTATGTCTGGCTTCTTTCAGCATAATATTTTCAAGGTTAATTCATATAGCATGTATACCTTGTACAGGCATACCTCAGAGGTATTATGGGTTTGGTTCCAGACCACTGCAGTAAAGCTACTATTGCAATAAAGCTAGCTGTAATCTTTTTGCTGGTAGAGGGTTTTTGCCTTCAATTTGTAAAAAACACATCTGTGAAGTGTAGTAAAGCAAAATGCCATAAAACAAAATATACCTATACTTCATTCCTTTTTATGGCTGAATAATCCCATCATACGTATAAACCCAGTTTTGCTCACCCATTCAACAGTTGATGGGCATTTGGGTTGTTGCCACCTTTTGGTGATTGTGAGTAGTCCTGCTATGAATATTTTTGTACAACTTTTGTTTGAAAACCTGTTTTTAATTTAAAAAAAAAAAAATACGTCTTTATTGATATCCGAGAGAAGAAGGGAGGAGAGAGAGAGGTGGAAATATCAACGATGAGAGAGTCATTGATCAGCTGCCTCCTGCACGCCCCATACTGGGAAAAAGCCCGCAACCCGGGCATGTGCCCTGACCGGGAATCGAACTGAGATCTGGATCCTAGGTCAATGCTCAACCACTGAGCCACACCAGCTTGGCCTGTTTTTAATTCTTTTGGGTACATTTAGGAGTGGGTTTTGTGTTAATTCTATGTTTAAGCTATTGAGGGAATCAGTTGAGTACATTTCAGCTCAGAGTAACTAACACATCTATTTAGTAATGGGCAGAACTGGGATTTGGACCCAGGCAGTTTGGCTGCAGAGCCCGTACCCTGAAGCACTACTTTACTGCTTATGGTTGTCAGGTGTTAACAGGCTGGTTCGTTTGCCGGCTCTGACCTGGCATCAAGGTAGTACTGTATATGCTTGGAGGTTCATTATCCTTCCCAGACTTACTTCCATTATTTTGAGAGCCTTTGAAATTGTGCCTTCCGGCCCTCCCAATGTTGGGAGGAGGGGATGTGGTGGCTGTCCATTGTGACTAGATGGGTTCTAATCTGACTTTTATTCTAACGCCCCTTGTTCTGTGCTCCTCGAGGATGAAGGGAGGAGGGATAGAAGAGCAAAAATTCAGGTCACCTGTTTCGTGAAAGTTTATCATTTGCTTTGATGACATGTAAATTACCTAAAAATGTAAACTTCTGGGCTCCTGTGTGGATTGCCAGACCAGGCAGTTAATGGCTTTGTTTCAGGCAAAACGTCCTTTGAAAATAATTGATCAACCCTACTTCTAAAATTGTCAACAGAACATTTTTTTTTTTCAAGTGCTCAGGTGGCTAAAGAACTCTGTACACTTGTTTTACTGCTGCCCTCTTAGTAACTCCGCCGAAAACTTTCCAAGCACACAAGTAGGCCCCCTGGTTTGCCAGTTGTTTTAAGACCTTCTTCCTTTGGTGGTTTCTTAGCCAGTGGAGCACAGAGCATCCCTAATGAGGGTCCTGCCCGTGGTGAGGACATGCATTCTGAAGAGGAAGGCTTTGCTATGGATGATGAAGATTCTGATGGGGAACTGAATACCTGGGAGCTGTCAGAAGGGGTGTCCCGCTGTCTGCCCAAGGAACAGGCTGCTGATCTTTTTAATGAGGACTGGGACTTGGAGTTGAAAGCAGATCAAGGGAATCCGTATGGTAGGTGTGGAGTTTCTGGGATCCTAGGCCAGGGTTTGAGACCCTCCTACCACATTACCCCTAAAGGCAGATAGAGTTTGGAAGAGGAACCCACATCTGCGGGCTTAGCCTGATATGTTACAGATCCACAATTTCTATGACAGCTACTTTTTCATATTGAAAAAAAAATACACCTGGCTGGTTTCTATCTCCCTCTCTGCCCCCTTCTCTCTCTGAAATTAATAAAAACATATTTAAAAAGAGACAACATGCAAATTTTACATTTGACTCCATAATGTGTCAGTTAGTTTTAACATTGAAACAATGTTACTTTCTTCAAATATCTTTGGGTGAACTGAGCAGCTGCAGACAGAAGTGCTTTGTTATCCCATTGCTCCCTCTGCCCTGCTAAGAACCCTTGGCTGAGCAGCACTGTGGGTTCCCTCAAAGAACATGCTTGCAATTCTTCAGGAAAGGAATACTCTGTGTGTGTGTGTGTGTGTGTGTGTGTGTGTGTGTGTGTGT